TCCATTGCTGTGTGCAGAAGATTTTGATAATGACAAATTATCTGAAGGATTCATCTTGAAAGCCAGGGTATATAGAAGATGGAGTACTTGACATGGCTCAACTTGCTTTAGTACATGAACAAGAATTTCTTGGAGAGCAGACCTAAAAATTAACAAAACAATAAGGAAATCAATTGTGTCGCAATACCAGCATAATAATCTAATGTGAGCAATGTAACATAATGATAGAGATCCACTATTGTTTCCTAAAGTCACTTGTGAAATATTACATTTCTTACTTCCTAAGGCCATTATTTTTACAAATTGCCACCATTTTCAGCCAACACAAATGCTTACCTTAAATGAGACACTCCCTTTCTAGTGAAACAGAAGAGCTCAAATACTGGATGAACAATTGGCAACAAAACTCTTATGGCACTTTTGGGTGACCCAGAAACAAAGACCTACAAAAGAAAATTATTTATTAGAAACATGTAAGCCCTGACCTCACAGCAGAGCTGTAACTTCTCAACAGCCACTGTTCAGTACTGTGACCACTTCTTCCTTTTGCCTTAATGGCACACTACCTCATTTGTTCTGAACAGGTAACTGTCAGTGCAAAGGATATGTTTTTTAAGGTCTTGATTGCTCCTTGATTCCAGACCCAAAATTGGTCTATGTCTGAGGTTCTACCATTTTTTTCTACGTTTAATTCATAATATTCAGTCCGCATATTCCAGATGTGGCTCTATGTGTTCAATATGCCACAGTCAATAACAATTTTGTCTTTTCCCAGTTTGAAAATCTCAGTGACACACTCCATTCACTTAAAATTTTCATAATTGCCTCTCCCCCAAATCAATGCAAGAAATCAAATTTAACATTCTTCAGCAGACATCAGAAGCCATCAGTGGTCTAAAGTTTAACTTTGCCTTAACAACATATGGCTGTATTAGAAAAGCTGTTTGTTACTTTTAATGCACTAAATTGTATCAAACTGGATAAATCAGACAAAAACTATCTAAAAGACACCTCAATGTACCTTGTGAATGTCTTCAACACATTGCCCCACTTTGTTTTCATCAACAACAGTAGTTCCTGCTCTCCCTCCTAAAAATGATTATTAAGAATTTGTTAGTTTTACAATTCTCAAAGCCACTAGTCTCTAGGCCAACTTTACCCTTTTAAATATTATCGTTGCTTCATTCCTTTATATAAGAGGAGAGGGTTACCAGTTATGAACTTTCTACCCCATTTTTGTCACACTCCATCTTAAATTACTGTTTCCTATAATCATGGAATATTGCTACTTCCCTGGTTTAACATGCTAATTTGTCACTGTTCCCCATTCCCTTCCCCTCCCCTCTACCCCCAGCACACTGCCTTAGTATCAGCTTTCACTGGAAGTTCAGCAGCACCCAGTTTTACCCCTGGTTAGAGAAAAGCACTTTTCTGGTTTCAGTATTAGTTTTGTCTCTTTGTAATAGCTTAGAGATACTCAAGAACCCAACTAAAGGACCTGAGCAAGGCATTCCCCCTGACCTTTCACTCCAGAAAAGAATTTCCAGCATGCTAACCATTAGCTTGCTATGAACCTTGAAAAGAGGAATGATGGAGGGTGATGACTTCTCTAACAATGCCTGAGAAGGAGGTCTGTAAAGCCTGAGATGCAGTCAAAAGTGGGGACAACAGATCCTGATAAGTTGTGAAAAATTCACAGTGCATGGCACAAGGTGCAACCGAATGTGGCAAAAGCAGAACATAACTGACCATGAGAACACACATAAATAAAGGGGGTATACTCTACATGGCAGAGTGTAACAGGGTAAATTAGAATTCTCAACTGAGTTGATAACATAAATTGGCCACTTTAAAGAGTTTCGCAGCTGATCTTTCGGGCATTAGCCTTTTGTTCGAGCAAAGAACACACAGTTTAGCACCTTATTCAATCAGAGCCACCCCACCATAACAATGGAAATCCCTTCAGTTGCATAGGAACTAATTTCACAACTACCTTGCCTCTCAGTGGTTTGGGCCAAAGGTCTAATGATAGGAGAGAGGACATATTTCTGAGCAAGCTCTGGATACTGAATTAACATCTCCATTATAACACTCGATGCTGTCCTTATATAAAGCCTTCCAACACCAGCACTCTGCCCATGTAACAACTGGATTACCTGTTCCAAAGGTAAAACAGTCAAAGATTCACATGGTTAATTCTGTAAAAAATCAATCTAGAATTGTAATCAAAACCTTATTCTGGAGATAAAAGAGATAAAAAACCAATGATTTGACAATTTCCCATTAAATATATCATCCAGGTTTCACCACCCAAAAAAACCCACCTCTGGTCCTATCTCTTCCATAACTCCCATGCCCTCCATATAAAAACAACAACAACAAAAATATGTAACGATAAAATCCCACAGTTGTAAATTTTAAACCTTGAAATACCCCTTAAACATCATGTCACTTAAGGCCTGGCCAAACTTATGCAATATCTTGCAACATCTTGCAACATCGTTGGATCATGTTGTGAGATTTTACGAAAGAGCTAGCCAAATGAATGCAACATTTTGCAACAACCAAAAATGTTGCAAAAAAATTTGACCATTTTTAAACTTGATTCAACACCATATCACATCTTGCAACATGTTGCTACAGTGTAGCCAAACACATTGCAAACAATTAGGTCCCCTAATTTTGCAACCTTTCCTTATATCTTTCAATTTTAACATATAAGGAGATTTTTATCCTTGATCAGTCTGGATATATAAAAAGGTTAACCAAGTTTGTCTATTATTCAACCAGAAAGTAATGCTGAAAGTATGCTTGCGGAAAGTAGATTATTAACACCCCACTCACCTGTGGAGAAACTAACTTATAATACTCTTCCACAGATTCTGCCTGACTAGGACAGTTTGCTATTAATTTGGCAATGACATCACATTTCTTCCAGTCAGGAGAGCCAGCCCCACCTGAAATACCACAAGATATGCCAAGTAACTTGACTACATTCTGAATTAAGTATAAACTATAATTGTATAATAATTAGTAGAGAAATGAAAAGAGGAAATTCAACAGTAATGAATTTCTGTAACTACAGGCTATTTGCACTTTTCTGATTAGATCTTCAAGCAGATCATAATGAGTTTTTTAAAAGGACAGAGTGGTGAGGTGGGATGTAAGGAGTTGTGTCAGCTCAATTGGCATCACAAGAGGCTGCTGTACCTGCTGATCTTTCGAGAAGGGCATGCAACACAGCTTTCACTCCATTTTGCTTCATGAGCCTTTCAGAAAGAAGTTGGCCACAGATATTTCTCATCCACCTTGGAGTCTGCTGCGGTGTTCCTCCATGATTCACTCTTTGATGACCAGATGTTTCCCTGGAACTAACTTTCCCAGGTTGTTTCCTGCCATTTGACAATCCCCCCTGGAGCATCAGGAGATCTCTGACAACCATTGGCTGGTAAACACGATCTAGGATTCTTTGAAGATCCTGACTACATTTTTCCCTTTCAGTTGAGGTAATGAATATCTGTTCATCATTTTTTGCTTTCCTGTTGGGGAGATTTTTTTCTAGTGCATAGAGAGCACCTGGATCTAGTTTATTAGAAGAGGTGCTTTTCACTGAAGGTTCTGCACTTGATTCAGTTTTTGTTGTGCTATGGGGATTTTCAGTAGTTGAACTGGGATCCCCACAAGACTCACCATGTACAATTTTAGAGGTATTAGAATCAGAGATATCACTTTTCCTCTCTGTAGAAGCAGTTGAGCCTTTATTGTTATCGGAGTAAGTGGAAACTGGCGCATAACATAGCTGCAAAAGTCCAGCCAATACATCTCCTAAATGTCTTGACAAAATCAATGCACCCAATGAGGGCTGTTCTATGCAGTCAACAAGTGTATTAATACATTCAAACAAGCGCCTTTCATTATTGATGCTACAACGAATGTTCAGTGATGAGGCAAATCCAGATCGCTTCTCAACAGGCACACCTACACCAGATAACAGATTTGGACAAATTCCCAATATGACCACAAATTGAATAGCTGTCAATACTGTCTTTTGATCAGTAACGCCGAGAGTATCTGGGGGCAACTGTGGTACTTCATTATCCCGTTTTCTACTATTCTGATTATCTTCCTTGCCGCTAGCTTGCCCATCGATTGCAACGCCGATCAAAGCTTCTTTCAACAGTTTTACAAGTTCTAAACATGCTTCCACGAAAATCCACCGAATAAAATCTTTGAATTCCTTTTCTCGACTCTCTTTATCTGTATGAAGTTTCTCAACAACATCTTTATTTCCATCGAATGTGTGATCAGAATTTTCCAGTTCTCTCACGTGCGCAATTGTTTGAATTTGTAATCGGCGCTCTATCTCTGGAAATGTCCCTTTCTCGCAGAGATTTTCCCTTAAACGCTGCATATTAAAAACAAGAAGCTCGTCAAAGTCTTTCTTCTTTTCTGCTGGTGGAGTGTCGGGTGAATTCGAGGTTAAAGTTCGTAGATACGAAAGGGCTTCCGCTACTGTCGCCATTTTGAAAGTTTCTGTTGGTCTGTCGTGTAAGCCCATTCATAGAATAGTGGCAGACTTGTCACGCAACACTATCGTTAGCTAAAGCGTTGCGTTACAAGCTTCAAATAGCTATTCTAGAAATTGATTGACAGCGGTATAATACTCTTCTTTTCAGTGACAAAGTCTTGACTTCTGTAAAAGTGGTGGTGCTTCTTTTATATATGGGAACAAAGGAGAAAAATTTTGAAGTAATTTTGGAACAACATTCTCCAAAACCTTGAGCAGGTCTTCAGTCATAATTGCGTAGAGGAAGATGAAATGGTCACTGATGCCTTAAGTTAACGCGATGGGCAATATTTTAACAAAATTTCACTCCTAAAACAGGGGTGGAGTTCCTGAGAAAGCTCTTCCTTCCCTCTGTGTACAGCAGCATCTTACTGAAAATGTTACTGAGATGATTAGTTGTTTTATTGTAATAATGCACAAACAGACACAAAAATGATCCAAAATAAAATTGGTTTAATTCCTTTTTCAACTCAACTTAAGTTCAACCCTCAATCTGTCAAAACAGTGTCCAGTATGGTGCACTTGGTCTGAGAGTTAAAAGATTTTCAATTACTTTTAAGCACTGATATTTAATTTTTCCAGACAGTTGGCCAGGAATACATACTCTGGGTTAAAAAAGTTTGTTCACTAACAACAGAAGAGAATGCAGACCTCAATCCAAGCTGGCACACCAGGGGAGGCTATTACATCATTAATTTGGCTACCAGGCCCCTTCATGCCACTCATGTCACCTCATTATACCACCTCAGAACTACCATTTAGGTCTCTTCAAGAACAATTTATCCTTTAACTCCCAGAAGTGATTAACTGGTAGATGTGGGATGTAGGACTTAGAATTTCTCAATTCCACTAGAGGTATTTTTGGCTAGTTTTCTCAACAGGGTTTAATTTCTGAACTACTCGTATAAAGGCTAAATTTGATACATTATTCTGAGTGAAAACTGTGTAAGGGTGGAAAACAGAGCAATCAAATTTGTCAATGAAAATTATTAACTATAAAACAACTGAAAACACCTCAGAAAAT